CCTTGACCGTGCTGGAATGTGTTCTCCGACTTTTTTGGACAAACGCCGACTCGCGCGACTAATATATCCTGCCCCACAGGAGCAGGTAAATGAATATATGCACATACATGTGGTCTGGGCTGGCAGCTTGTCATTGATCTTTCCGTATAGAATGGAAGTAGTCAAGAGCAGTACATTGGCGTTGGCTGCTGGGAAGTTGGCTGCTACAGCTTGACTCAATACGGACTTTATTTACTTAATTACCATAAAAATGGAAAGGCCTGACGAAAATTTAGCGTAAAAAACGTATGTTTACTCATTTATCTTATGAAATGTTCGATGGAAATTTTCGCAAAGTTGGTAATTATGGAACCAGAACAGCATAATACTCAATCGTACACAAAATATGCACTGGTTTATTCATGACTTACACTGTTCATTAGGCTATTTCGACCGCGAATTGAACCCCAGGGGCAGACACCAATCGTTTTTGGAGGTGTGAACTCAGTGTCATCACCGAAGTAATTTGTAGATACCTTCGACAACTCCTTGCCGATTAGGACATTAAAGGTAATATTCAATCCGTTGTTTACAAGCCAGGCATCAGTAGACTTGAGCGCGGCTAAAACTTCCTGTGACAAAAATAAAAGCTCGGCTGTTAAGTGCAGAAATAAAGGACTGGAAAAAACAGAAGACAGACTTATTCACCATGCTCGAATTATTATACAGCTATTGAAACTGTAAAGATAGGAATATTTTCTACGGTGGAAACTGCTGAGCAATAAACCTTACACTGTGGACGGCAAACAGACACAGAGCACTTAATTTGATCGAATGGCTCTTCGTTGCTATCATAATTGAAATTCCCGACCACAACCGACAAAACAACGGACAAGTTGCGGGCTCCCATCTCGGGAAATCCACACTTGGAATTAGAAATGACTGGCTGATAATGAGTGATAATCTAGAAATGGTCCTTCCGGTATACCTTTCTGACCTTGCTTGAAAGGCCAGACAGGGACAATATGAGTTTTGTCCAACACGAAGGCAACTGGGGACAGGTACTCTCGCCTTTTACCACATCAACCGGCATATTGAGTTAGATGCCGCGTGCAGAAGTCTCGGGCAGAAATGGGAGAAATGCGAGCCAGTCCGAAGGGGATGAGACACCTGGCAAAGGCCTACTGGCGCAAACTTCCCATCGTGATTTTTCTTGTGAATTCACGATGTTGGCGGTTTCTTGGCACTTGTACCTTACTCTGCGTCTGACGACGACCTGGAAAACCAGCTTCGAAAATTTACATGGTAAAGTACCTTTCCCAAAGAACGTATTCGACTTCAATATACAGTAGTCGCCGGCTATTAAGCCCTCCTCGGGCCCAGACCAAATTGGGCTTA